TGAGCCCTCAACAAGTATAAAAAGATCAAGATCATACCATGAATATTTTCAGACCACAATGCTGTGGAACTCAAAATCAACCACAAGAAAAAATTTGGAAAGATAGCAAATACTTGGAGACTAAAGAACATCCTACTAAAGAATGAATGGGCTAACCAAGAAGTTAAAGAGGAAATTAAAAAGTACATGGAAGCCAATAAAAATGATAACACCACAGCCCAAAACCTCTGGGATGCAGCAAAGGTGGTCATAAGGGGGAAGTATATAGCAATCCAGGCCTTCCTAAAGAAGGAAGAAAGCTCTTAGATACACAACCTAACCTTAAACCTTAAAGAGCTGGAAAAAGAACAGCAACTAAAGCCCCAAACCAGAAGAAGACAGGAAATAATAAAGATTAAAGCAGAAATCAATGCTATTGAAGCCAAAAAATCAGCAGAACAGATCGATGAAACCAGAAGCTGATTCTTTGAAAGAATTAACAAAATTGATAAGCCCCTAGCCAGTTTGATCAAAAAGAAAAAGGAAAGGACCCGAATAAATAAAATCAAGAATGAAAGAAGAGAGATCACAACCAACACAGCAGGAATAAAAACAATAAGAGAATATTATGAGCAATTATATGCCAACAAAATGGGCAATCTGGAAGAAATGGACAAATTCCTAGAAACATATAAACTACCAAAACTGAAACAGGAAAAAATAAAAAATTTGAACAGATCCAAACCAGTAAAGAAATTGAATTAGTAATAAAAACATTCCCCCCAAACAAGAGTCTAGGGCCAGATGGCTTTCCAGGGGAATTCTACCAAACATTTAAGGAAGAGTTAACACCTATTCTCTTGAAGCTGTTCCAAAAAATAGAAATGAAAGGAAAACTTCCAAACTCTTTCTATGAAGCCAGCATTACCTTGATTCCAGAACCAGACAGAGACCCCACTAAAAAGGAGAACTATAGACCAATTTCCCTCACGAACATGGGTGCAGAAATCCTCAACAAGATATTAGCCAACTGGATCCACCAATACATTAAAGAAATTATTCACCACAACCAAGTGGGATTTATACCTGGGATGCAGGGCTGGTTCAATATCCACAAAACAATGTGATTTATCACATCAATAAAAGAAAGAACAAGAACCACATGATCGTCTCAATAGATGCAGAGACAGCATTTGACAAAATACAACATCTTTTCTTGATAAAAACTCTGAAGAAAGTAGGGATAGAAGGATTATACCTTGAGATCATAAGAGACATATGTGAAAGACCCAACACTAATATCATCCTCAATGGGGAAAAACGGAGAGCTTTTCCCCTAAGGTCAGGAACACAACAGGGATATCCACTCTTGTCACGGTGATTCAACATAGAATTGGAAGTCTTAGCCTCAGCCATCAGACAACACAAAGAAATAAAAGCATCCAAATCGGCCAGGATGAGGTCAAACTTTCACTCTTCGCAGATGACATGATACTGTATACAGAAAACCCAAAAGATTCCACCAAAAAACTGCTAGAAGTGATCCATGAATTCAGCAAAGTGGCAGGATATAAAATCAATGCACAGAAATCAGTTGCATTCCTATACACCAACAATGAAGCAACAGAAAGAGAAATCAAGGGATCAGTCCCAATTGCACCAAAAACCATAAAATACCCAGGAAGAAATCTAACCAAAGAGGTGAAAAGTCTATACACTGAAAACTATGGAAAGCTTATGAAAGGAATTGAAGAAGATACCAAAAAATGGAAAAATATTCCATGCTCCTGGATAGGAAGAACAAATACTGTTAAAATGTCAATACTACCCAAAGCAATCTACATATTCAATGCAATACCTATCAAAATGACACCAGCAGTCTTCACAGAGCTGGAACAAACAATCCAAAAATTTGAATGGAACCAGAAAAGACCCCAAATAGCCAAAGTAATCTTGAAGAAGAAAACTAAAGCAGGAGGCATCATAATCGCAGACTTCAAGTTGTATTACAAAGCTGTAATCATCAAGACAGTATGGTATTGGCACAAGAACACTCAGATCAGTGAAACAGAATAGAGAACCCAGAAATGGACCCACAAACATATGGCCAACTAGTCTTTGACAAAGCAGGAAAATATCCAATGGAATAAAGACAGTCTCTTCAGCAAGTGGTGCTCGGAAAACTGGACAGCAACATGCAGAAAAATGAACCTGGACCACTTTCTTACACCATCCACAAAAATAAACTCAAAATGGAATGAAGAGCTAAATGTTAGACAGGAAGCCATCAAAATCCTCAAGGAGAAAGCAGGCAAAAACCTCTTTGACGTTGGCCACAGCAACTCCTTACTCAACATGACTCCAGAGGCAAGGGAAACAAAAGCAAAAAAGAACTATTGGGACCTCATCAAAATAAAAAGCTTCTGCACAGCAAAGGAAACGATCAGCAAAACTAAAAGGCAACTGTTGGAATGGGGGAAGATATTTGCAAATGACATATCAGATAAAGGGTTAGTATCCAAAATCTATAAACAGCTTATCAAACTGAACACCCCAAAAACAAATAATCCCGTGAAGAAATGGGCAAAAGACGTGAATAGACACTTCTCCAGAGAAGACATCCAGATGGCCAACCGACACATGAAAAAATGCTCAACATCACTCATCATCAGGGAAATACAAATCAAAACCACAATGAGTATATATGTACAGTGGAGTATTACTCCAGAAGTAATGCGGAGTAATGAAATAATAAAGAATAATTCATTAATTATTCCACAAGTAATGAGGAGTAATGAGTGAGTAAAGAATGAAATCTTGCCATTCGCAACTACGTGGATAGAACTAGAGGGTATTATGCTAAGCGAAATTAGTCAGAGAAAGACAAATATCATACAACTTCACTCATATGAGGACTTTAAGATACAAAACAGGTGAACATAAGAGAAGGGAAGCAAAAATAATATAAAAACAGGGAGGGGGACAAAAACATAAGAGGCTCTTAAAAACGAAGAACAACAGAGGGTTGCTGGAGGGGTTGTGGGAGGAGGGGATGGGCTAAATGGGTAAGGAGCATTAAGGAACCTACTCCTGAAATCATTGTTGCACTGTATGCTAACTTAGATGTAAATTTAAAAAAATAAATAAAAATTAAAAAAATGTTTAAAGAACAAAAATAAGACGAGACAACCACAGAAAAGCAAAAAGCCTGGTAAAAAGTAAAATGTTCTTGAGATCTGGGACATTTATGTGCTTATCTAGGGCAGTTTGTACATTTTGCTTTTAAAGAAAGTGTTCAGGATCTTTTCCTCCTCAGAACACCTGCTTTGCATACCACACGCAATAAGCCATAATAGCTGTTATGCAACATTTCTTACTCTATTTCTTCATGAACTTTTAAAATTCTATACTTGGAAGATTTATTTCTCCAGTTACAACATTTAAGATTGTAAAATGCCTTAATTTATCACATTTTATATCTATTTAGATGTAAAGTTTTTTCTTGTAAGCAGTAGAAATTTCTCACTGCAACACAGCTGGAAGGTGCATTTGTGTTCCCTGTTAAATCTTTAGGATAGTCTCATAGTGAGCTGGAAGGGCTTGGCATTTCTGATGTATAAGAAGTACATCTGAAATGCTATAAGTAAGAAAGAGCAGCTAGGCATAGTGTTCCAGTACAGTCCTTTCTCTGGTTGGTTAAATCTGGCTCTACTTTCTGCCAATTTCTGTCACCAAATGAACATTTATTAAGAGACTGAAATGTCTAGAGAGCTTTGCTGTAGTCACGTTACAAAGATAATGATCTATTAGAAGAGAGAGGCAGATAGGATATAAATGCCAAGGAAAAGGTACAAAGTGCCATGAGAATGCTTCAAAGGCACAGTTAGTTCCAATGGGGGAGACTAGGGGAGGCTTTAGAGAGGAAGTTGCATTTGAATTTGACCTTGAGAAGTAGAAGGTTAGATGGGTAGAATGAGGATTGAGAGGTGGGCAATAACATGGGAAGCACAGGAGACACATAAGCTAAAGCATGAAATTTGTGGTGTGTTTTAGGAACAACGAGTAGGCTGTTATGACTGGAACCTTAGGGCATTAGATTTGTTTGTTAAGAGACAAATCTGGAGAGGCATCTGGGGTGGTTCCATTGGTTAAACATCCAACTCGATTTCAGCTCAGGTCATGATCTCATAATCCCCTCGTCTGGCTCTGTGCTGACAGCAGGGAACCTGCTTGGGATTCTCTCTCCCTTTCTCTCTCTCTCCCTTCCCCCATCTCTCTCTTTTTCTGTCTCTGTCTCTCTCTTTCTCTCTCTCTCTCAAAATAAATAAATAAAGTTTTTTTGTTTTAAAAGAGATGAATCTGGAAAGGTAGAATTAGGCCAGTTTGTGAAGTTTCTTGAGTGCTATTTAAAGGAGGTGGGACCTTATTCTGTAGATAACATAACTAGTGCAATGGAAAAAAAGATGAGATTTGTGGAGCTTTTTGGAAAATCTTAGGAGTGAAAAGAAAGAAGAAAGTGAAAGAGGAACTAAAAGCCCAGAAATCAGTTATGATATTGCAATAGTGAAAGCAGAAAATGACCAAGATTGAGCTAGGATATCTTTAAAAATCAGAAGATTGGAATGAAATGATGTCAGGGGCACAGACTGAACTCCCAGACTTTGGTGATCAGGTAAGGTAAGGGTAGAGTCAAGGATGACTTCAAGACTTCAAGGTTTTCAGACACAGTGATGCCAATTAACAAAGACTGAAAGAGGAATTCAGTTGGGGTAAAATTAGAATACTTCTTGTAAAGGGCTTATAAAAAGCAGAGATTTCAGAAGTCCAGTACTCTCTGTTAGCTGTGTCACTGGTGGCTTTTTATGTCTCATTGCTATAGGAAATGTCATGTTTTGGGTTGCTGTGTGTAAGAGGGTATTGGAAAGTATGGTATACTTATGAGGATTAATCCAAGATGTTTGACTGTTTGAAAGTTTCCTACATCGCTTTTTAACATGAGAGTACCACAAATAACTTTGTAGTCTTCAAGAGACCTATGAAGCCAAAAGACATGAATTTTATGGTGAACGTCAGAGGAAGGAAGAAGAAATGAAGCAGATGTTTGTGCAGCGAGTAAAGGAGAAAGAAGCCATATTGAAAGAAGCTGAAAGAGAGGCAAGTACACTGGTTTGATGTGATCTGCATTTGTTTTTTAGGTGTCCTGTTTGAGAGATTTATCTCAAGAATTTAGCTGAGATGCTTTTGGAGAGTACTTATTGTTCTTTAAAAAGTAGCTATTTTAACACATAGTCTTTGGATACAGACTTTTAAAAATCTGAAATCAAATAAAAATTTGGCTTTTTTGAGCAAATCGTCTTCCATTAGAAGTGGTTCTCCAAGGGGACTAGGTCACTAAGAGGTGTTTTAAGTATCTTAACTTTGTTAGTTATTTATTTATTTATTTATTTATTTATTTATTTATGCTTTAGTTAATATACAGTGCAATTATTGGTTTAGGAGTAGATTTCAGTGATTCATTACTTAAATACAACACCCAGTGCTCATCACAACAAGTCCCCTCCTTAATACCCATCACCCATCTAGCCATCTCCCACCCACTTCCATCAACCCTTAGTTTGTTCTCTGTCGTTAGGAGTTTCTTGTGGTTTGTTTCCGTCTCTTTTTCTTCCCCCTCCTTCCCATGTTCATCTGTTTTGTTTCTTAAATTCTCCTTATGAGTGAAATCATATGGTATGCTTTTTGACTTTCTCTCATTGACTTATTTCGCTGTTTAGTAGATGCATTCTAGTTCCATCCACATTGTTGCAAATGACAAGATTTCATTCTTTTTGAGGCTGTGTGTGTGCGTGTGTGTGTGTGTGTGTGTGTGTGTGTGTGTGTATACACATACCACAGCTTCTTTATCCATTCATCAGTCGATGGACATTTGGGCTCTCTCCATAGTTTGGCTGTTGTTGATAGCACTGCTATGAACATGTACCCCTTGAATCAGTATTTTTTTATCCTTTGGGTAAATACCTAATAGTAAAATTATGGTCAACTAATCTTCAGCAAAGCAGGAAAGAATGTCTAATGGAATAAATACCTTAACTTTGAACCAGAAATGTTTTAGCCGTGGCTTAATAAAACCTTTCTTGAGAGTTCTTGAGAGCTGTTAGGGTTGATGCCATGAAACAGGTAACTATGAAAACAATTAAGTAACTCTTCTGAGTTTGAACTCAGGCTTTCCAGACCAGTGAGGTGGTCAAATCACTTTTGGGTAACCTTGGCACACATGTGCACATGCACACACAAACATTGCAGTTATTTCCATAGTTTTGTTTGCTTCTAGTTCTTCAAGCAACACTTTTAGTTTTATTTGAGTTAAACTATTTTCTATAGACCTAACTACAATGGCTACTTTTAAGTAAATGGCCACATTCAAGATGAGAGTCAAAAAGGATGAGTTCAAAAAGGAACTTCTAAGACAAAAATGTTAATACAAGTGAACTTGATAATACAAGATTTTCTGAATTATTTATATTTTTACAAATTTATTTTTTCCAGTATGCTTGTAAGTAGTTTTATAAAATTAATAGTCTGATATATCTTGTTTATAATTTGAATTTGAACTTTGTATTTTGAAAAAGTTCGAACAGGAAAGTGAAAGTAAGGGTACCTACCTATGTCCCTCCCCACACCTAGATTTAGCAATGGGTGTTTTGCCACCTTTATTTTACATATATGTGTGTGTGTGTGTGTGTGTGTGTGTGTGTGTATGCATCTGGGAGAGAGGGGTGTCCATTTTTCCCTGGTCATCTGAAAGCTGGTTGGAGATATTATGACACTTTATCCCTAGGCACTTCAGTGTGCATCTCTGAAGTTAGGCACATTTTCTTCCATAACCATTGTACTAGTATTACACCTAAGAAAATTAATGGGAATGCCATAATCTCACCTGATCTCCTGTCCACAGTCACATTTCCCCAGTTGTCCAAGATGGTCTTTTATTGTTTTTTTTTCTTTTATTTGTTTACAGATTTTTTAGTTTTTTATTTTTGAACTGGAATTCAGTTGTAGGTCTCATATCACATTCGGGTATTCTGTTTGTTTAGTCTCTTTTGTCCAAGAATAGTTCCCTAGTTTTGAGTTATTTTTAAGTATAAAAATTGAGGAAAGAGTTGTAATGAGCAGGAAATGAGGATGCTGACTTTTTTTTCATTAGTAGATTCATCTTTAAGATAGAAGTAGAGTGAAACTATTTAAGAGTTTAATTCTCATATATCATGATTCTTAGTTTTTCCAGTGAGGAGAAAAGATGTAGAAGTGGTTTACAGTTGAGTTGTTTCTTTTTTTTTCTTTTTTTTTTTTTCCAGAGAGACAGAGACAGAGAGAGTGAGCATGAGTGGTAGAGGGAGAGAGAGAATCTTA